TGTTTCACATGATACTGACCCATCCATGTTCCTGACAGAAGTTTATAATCGCAGTGCTGATATGATCTTTATGAAGATAATAGCAAGGATCCGATGCATTTAATTGCGGTAGCTTTTCTGTGATGTCTTTTGCTTCATGTTTCCATACTTTAAACGTGGACGATACATTTCGGTCGTTTCTTCGTAGGTTTAACTGAATCTGTTTTCCAAAACCTTTCAGAGTCAATGGTATCTGTAAATGACAATACAGAAATGACTTGATAATTGTGTAATAATATTTGGTTGAGCAATGTATAAAGTAGTACAGTAAAACACACGTACTTCCTGTTCGCTTGTCGGATTCCATGCCGGCAGCAATATTCTTTCGATGTCTTGCGTGATATACGCGTACGTTTCATTTAATAAAAATATTAACATCAATTTAAATATAAAGAACATATTGATTTTCGTGTTTTTCATTTTTATATACTTCAAAATGATTAAATAACGTTTTTTTATGTATGAAATTTTTTGTCATATCATACGTTATAACAGTTTCGCGTTCGTCGTATCGTCTGATCGCGTATTGAACACATACTGGCATTTAGGTTTAGGAATATCGTTCGTGTCAGGTGACACTTTTTGTGTATATATTATATATGCTACATATACATTGTGTCTGAATGAAATGTATACACATTTAACAAGTTAATGTCTATCCATTTAACTTGTAAAAACTATGGTAATAAAATGTTTTTACACTTTTTTGGCATACCTTGTATATATGCGTTCTTTTCGGTTCTGTATTGTATATTTCACATAGAATATTTGCGAATACGGTGGAATTAAGGAAAATGCGAATTGTTATCAATATGAAAATATGTAACATTATTCACAAACATTTTGAACATTATTTTTGAACGTAAAAAAAGTTATAATTTATGACAATTTTAGATTTATTAGAACATAACATTGTTGACGCAGTTTAGCTGTATGAATATCAAATATAATATAAAATAAAAATACAATTAATTACTTCTGTTCTGATTTACAAAGAAAATGTATTGAAATTTATTTGTTTTTGATGTCGTGCCGTGTTTTTTATTAAGTAATAAAATTTACTGAATTTTTTTTTCGTTTTTTAATTGTTTATATATAAGTCTGTATTTATAAAATATTGGAAGATTATTAAAATATATATTATAGCGAGGGGTATTTTACCGTTCTCGTTCACTTTGTCTCGATACATTGTCTCATATAAAGTAAAAACACCTTTACTTTGTTTAGCAATTTATTTTCCCGTTTTGTAAACATTTTAATTATTACCTATCTTTTCTTCTCATTTTTACTAATACTAATAAACGGAATTTGTATGAGAGGCAGATAATTTAACGTAATTCTTCGTCTATTCGTTTTTATCAAGCAAGATATGAATAATACGCAAAACAGATTTCAACAAAGACAGATCGATTGAATATTCGGTATTAAGCAAATTGACCAACAATTCTAAATAGATTTACGTGCATTTTATAATTTTCTTTTTTCTTGATTTTTGTTCACACTTGTCGATATTCTCTCCATAATTATTCTTAAGCGTAGCTTTCTGGCAGACAATAATGTTGTCGGCAGTAATAATCCTGCCCACCTTCATAGTGACACCATGTTCCATCTGGAAAGTATGGGTCGAAATCATATTGGAGCAAATGCGAGAGTAGTGGTCTGACAACATAATCATTTTGTTGGCAATATATAGTACAAGCCTGCGATGGTTCAATAACATTATGAGCGATCTGCCATCCCGGCTGTTGTCCTAGTTTGATCCCGAATTCTGAATCTTTTATAATATTGCTAATTTCGATGCACTTCATAGCGGCAAAGTCGGAGATTGCCGTGCGATCTTCAGCGCAAAGCATCGAGTCATTGCACAGAACCACGTCGTAATATGGTCCTTCGCAACTCGCCGTTCTGTGAAATCCATGTTTGCAAGAACGTCGTCTGACTCTTACGCCTTTAGATTCCTCCAAGCAACTACTTCGACAGGTATCTTCTTTCCATTCACTCCAGTTATCTGCTTCACAATACTCGAGAGGCGGTTGCAGAACGGGCACACATTTTTCGCCGCGACATTCCTTTCCGGGTGCGCAATAAGTGCCTAAAAGAATAAGATTTAAATAGATTAATCAAACCATAAATCCCACACACTCAAACACCGCCACGCAACCACCGCACCATCACACACCACCACATAAAGCCACTATTTGAGAGATGAGCAAGAGGTAACGTACCTTCCAACGCTGGTCCCGTAAAGTAATACCCATTCTTGTCAGGCGTTTCGCATTCTAAGGATTTGCATATATCAAGCAATGAGACGACATTCGCATCCTTGTTGCGAAAAAATATTTCGCATTGTGCTTTGGCGGTCCATTCTCTTCCGGGTAAGTCGTGATAACGCGAATGGTTATATGCGTCTATGAGATTTTTCGTATGATCTCGAAAGCATGGTTTTGTATGCCAGAGTTCTAAAGCTGTATGACGACTACACTCGGACCATGTCATTTGGCCTTGACGATATCTGATAGGTGACAAGATAAATTCGTGTGGTCCACACAGTTCTGAATCGTGATCCATTCCTAAACTTTAAAAGAAATAAATTATTAATTTTGACAATATGCCTTACTTTGTGTTGTTTATTCTAAATACTTTAATCTTAAAATTTATTAATAATTTACATACTGAATGATTGAAGGAACAAATCTTAAAAAAATTTTTTACTTTCTGCTTTAAAATTAAAAAATTTAGTAAATTCTCATAAAATAAATTATTTATACTTAATTTATATGTAAATCTATTATATACAAACTTACATATGACCGATCTCATGAGCAGCAGTGATTGACGATGACAAACCCGAGGTCAGAAAACCGACAATACCAAATTCTACTACCGCGCACGATTCATTTAAGCTGCACCCGCCATAGCTGTGAGATAATCCAAGGGTACCTATGTCGCCCTTCTTTGCCCAATAAATATTTATTCCGGTTAGATAAAGACCAACGTCCCAGTGAAGCGGATCATTGTCGTCCGGAGGATTGCGAATTTTCGCGTAATTACAGAACGAATCGAGCAGTTTCTCATCGTCGCCGTCAAAAACTGGCAAATATGACGATTGTTCTTTCATAATTTCTAAATACACCAACGAAATATCAATAGAAACAAGCAAACTCGGATGATGGAACATAGCTTGGACGTTATTCACATACGCTAATATCAACATATTCAACATTTTCTCATCATTGTCCAGAACAGGCATGAAGGTACGATATGCGGCTTCGTCGAGGAAAACAGCCAGTTCTATAGTTAATTTTTCTTGAATATTTCGTACATAACGTTGCTTTAGTTTAAAATTATCCAAACTATCAAAAGTTAAATTAGTAGATAAATGCAAAGATCTTTTAATTACGTGAGATTTGCCAAATGAAATATTTATCTCTTTTTTAACGCAAAGGTCATCGATTAAGGACGCATAGTCATCTCGCAAAGGTTTAATTTCCAATGTGTCGTCTTTCAGAAAAACGAATCCTTCCTACTTAAAAAATGTACATTAAGTTTCACATGTGTGTCATGCTTAAATATAAAATAAACAAAAATTAAGATTAAAATTTAAATCTATTTAACACATATAAAGGAATGGCTCAAATGATAACAATCAATTAATTCTATTTGTTTTTCACATGACACTGACCCATCCATGCTTTTGACAGAAGTTTATGGCCGCAATGCTGATATGATCTTTGTGAAGATAATAGCAAGAATCCGATGCGTTTAATTGCAATGCATCTTCTACGATACCTTTTGCGTCATGTTTCCACACTTTAAACGTAGACGATACAATTTGGTCGTTTCTACGTAGGTTTAACTGAATGTGTTTTCCAAAAACTTTCAGAGTCAATGGTATCTGTAAATTAGATAACAATTCCAAATTGACTTAATAATTATGGAATAATATTTGGAACGTTGAGCAATGAATAAAGTAGTACAATAAAACGCACGTACTTCCTGTTCACTTGTCGGATTCCATGCCGGCAGATATATTTTCTCGATGTCTTGCGTGATAGTCGCGTACGCTTTATTTAATAGAATTATTAACACAAATTTCAAAATGCAAAACATGTTGGTGCTCGTGTATTTTTTAATTTATTTACTTGGGAATGTTTAATTAATGTCTTTTGATATATGCAATCACTTATTATGTAGATACGTTATAACTCTCGCATGTTCGTTATGCTTAGGAGGCCGCGTATAAAATACATATAAACATCTAGGTTCAGGAGTATCATTCGTGTCGTGTGACACTTATTGTTTATGTGTATATATACTTTATGCTACATAAATTTATGTACTTTTCTTTTCGGTTCTGAATTGTAAATTCTACTCATAATACTTGTGAAAACGGTGAAATTTTAGAAAATGCGAATTATGATCTATATGTTAAATTTGTAACATTATTCACAAACGTTAAACAAATTTTAATACATGATAAATTTAGAGTGACTGGAGCATAACATTGTGGATGCCATTTAGCCTTATAAACAACAAATATATTTTAAGAAAATACAACTGATCAATGATTTACTGATTAAATGAGTTAGAAAATATATTAAATTATATCCATTGCAAGCGTCGTGCCGTATTCGGTTACCGAGCTCATGAGTTCAATAATTAAATGACAATTTGTACTAAATTATTCTGAATATTCTTTATTTAGGTAATGAAATTTTTTTAATTTTTTTGCTTATTATTTGTTTCTACATAAGTTATTAATGAAACATTGGTAGACAATTAAAATATACAACATAGCGAGTGACGTTGTCGTTCTCGTTCACTATTTCTCGACATATTGTCTCGTAGGGAGTAAAAGTATCTCTATTTTATTTAGTTATTTATTTTCTTGTTTTGCGAATATTAATTATTACCTATTATATTTTTTGTTTTTTTCACGCTTTTATTATTGTTGACTAACGGAATTGGTTTCAGATGCTGATAATACGAGAAAGTTCTTCGTCTATTTGCTTTTCTTAAGCAAGGTATGAATGAAACGAAAAACAGATGTTAACAATGATCGATCGATTATTCGGTACCAAACGATTTGAACAACTAAATTAATTTTTGCGCGTATCATAATTTTTTTTTCCATGATACTCGTGCACAGATGTTGATGATTTCTTAACAACAGCTGTAGCTTTCCGGCACACAATAATGTTGGCGACAATAAAAATTCTGGCCATCTTTCTTGTGACACCACGTTCCATCTGGAAAGTATGGATCGACACCGATTCTGATCATTTCCAAGTGTACGTCACCAGTAGAAAATTCTATTTCTGGGCAGTGTATGATACAGGCTATCCACGGTTTCTCGACATCATGAGCAGCCTGCCATTTTGGCTCAATTTTTAATTTAATCCTTAAATTTATATTGTTCAATTTTGCATAAGAGTTCAATTGCGTGCATTTTGTTGTAGTAAATAAGTTGATCCTCTTGCGTTTCTGAGTACAGAGTAAAGTGTCATTGCACAGAACCACGTCGTAATATGGCCCTTTGCAGCTTGCCGTTCTGCGACTTCTATGTTTGCAAGATCGTCGTCTGATTCTTACGCCTTTAGATTTCTTGAAACAACTACTTTGACAGGTGCTTTCTTTCCATTCACTCCACTTATCCTCTTCACAATCTTTAAAAATATATGGCGGTTCGATAACGGGAACGCATTCTCCGCCGCGACATTCCTTCCCGGGAGCGCAATAAGTTCCTAAAAAATGAGATTAATTAAGCTGTAAACTATCTGAGAATGCAGGGGAGGAAACGTACCTTCCAATGCCGGTCCCGTAAAGAAATTCAAATTATCGTGAAGCGTTTCACATTGTATGGTTTTGCATACATCAAGCAACGAGACTACGTTCGCATCTTCGTCGTGAAAAAATATTTCACATTGTGCTTTGGCGCTCCATTGTCTTCCAGGTAAATTTTGATACTGTGTATTATGGTCATATGCGTTTTCAAGATTTTTTGAACCATCTCGAAGGCACTTTTTTGTTTTCCAGAGTCCTTCAGCTATATTACGACTGCACTCGGACCATGTTAGTTGGCCTTGATTGGATATGCGAGATGACATTATGTATTTGTTTGTATCACATGGTTTTATATAGTCGGAATCGTGTTTCATTCCCAAACTTTAAAACAAAGAAATTATTAATTTTGCTATATTTAGCAATAATTATTATAAATATTTTTATATTAAAATTTATTAATAATTAACATACTGAATAATTAAAAGAGCAATTCTCTTAAAGGAGTTTTTTTACTTTTTGTTTTTAAATTAAACAATTTAATAAATTTTTGTGAAACATATTATTTATACTTAATTTACACGTAAAATTATTATATATAAACTTACACATGACCAATCTCATGAGCAGCAATGAGAGACGATGAAAAACCCGAGGATATTTTACCCGCAATACCGAATTCCACTACCACACACGATTCAGTCAAGTTGCACACACTATTTCTGTCGGATATACCTAGGCTACTATTTAGGATTACGCCTTGCAAGGTTTCATAAAGATTTATTCCGGTTAGATAAAGACCAACGTCCCAGTGATTCGGATCATTGTCGTTCGGAGGATTACGAGTTTCCGTGTAATTGCAGAACGAATAGAATAGTTTTTCATCATCGCCGCCGTAAACTGGCAAATTTGATGGTTGTTTATCCATAATTTCCAAATATACCAACGAAATATCAATAGAAACACCCAAACTAGGATGATGGAACAGAGCTTGGATACGATTCACATATGCTAATATCAACATGCGCAATATATTCTCATCTTTGCCCAGAAAAAGCGTGAACGTACGATATGCGGCTTCGTCGAAGAAAACAGCCAGTTCTATATTTAATTTTTCTTGCGTATTTCGTACATGACGTCGTTTTAGTTTAAAATTATCCAAATTATGAAAACTTGAATCAGCAGATAATTGTAATGATTTTTTAATTAGGTAAGGTTTACCAAATGAAATGTTAATTTCTTCTTTAACGCAAACATCGTCGATTAAGCAGGAAGACGCAATGTCATCTCGCAAAGGTCTAATTTCCAATGTTTCGTTTTTCAGAAAAATAAATCCTTCCTACCTTCAAAAATTATTCATTAATATTTTTTCGTGTCATACTTACATATTAATGAAAAAGAAATTATTATTAAAAGTAAAACTATTTGTTTCTCATATAGTATCACTGACCCATCCATGCTTTTGACAAAAGTTTATGGCCGCAGTGCTAATATGATCTCTGTGAAAATAATAACAAGTATCCGAAGCATTTAATTCCGACAATTCTTTTGTGATGCCTGTTACATCGTGTTTCCATATTTCAAATGTAGATACTATTTGGTCGTTTTTACGCAGGTTTAACTGAATCTGTTTTCCAAAGACTTTAAGAGTTAACGGTACCTGAAAATTAGATAACAATAAATAAAAGATATGACAATTATCGAATATTTTAGGCATTGAACAATGTGTGACGCTGTAAAACTCACATACTTTTTCTGTGCTTTTCAAATTCAATGCTGGCAGCAATATTATTTGGATATCTTGTATGATATACGCGTACGATTTATTTAATAAAATTATTAACATCAATTTAAATGTAAAGAACATATTGATTTTCGCGTTTTTCATTTTTAAATACTTCAAAATGATTAATTAACGTCTTTTTATGTATGAAATTTTTTGTCATATACATACGTTATAACAGTCTCACGTTTATCGTATCGTCTGATCGCGTATAGAACACATACTGGCATATAGGTTTCGGAATATTATTCGTGTCGGGTGACACTTGTTGTGTATAAATCTTTTGTGCAACATATACAGAATGTCCCAATGGAATGTATACACACTTAGCAAGTTAATATCCGTCTATTTTTTTATAATATATGTTGGTAAAATGTATATACACTTTATTAGGACATTCTTTATATATGTATTGTTCTTTTTGGTTCTGATTTGTATATTTCATTGTATTTAATACTGGCAAACAGTGGAATTTTATAAAATGCAAAGTATGATTGATATGTGGAATATGTAACACTGTTCGCAAACATTTCTCACAAAAGCAAAAAAGTTTTAATTGATGAAAATTTTAAAATGACTGGAACTTAATATTGCTAACGCAATTTAACATTGTAAATATCAATTTTTATATCAAAAGAAAATACAATTGCTTACCGATTTACTGAGTTAGAAAATATATTGTAACTTATTCATTCCTGGCGTGCCGTATTCGGTTGTGGAGTTTATGTGTCCAATATAAATAACAGTATGTAACAAATAATTTTGAAAATTATTATATTTTGTAATAAAATTAAAAAAATTTTTTTTTATTATTTTGATTAATCGTTTCTGTATAAGTTATTAATGATACATTAGTATATTATTAAAATATACAACATAATGAGTAACGTTGTCGTTCTTGTTTACTATCTTTCGACACGTTGTCTCGTACGGAATAAAAATACCACTTCTTTACTTAACTATTTATTTTTGCATTTTGTTAACATGTTAATTATTTTCTTTTACGTTTTTAATATATCTAATTGTTGAAATTTGTTTTAGATAATTTGACGCAATTCTTCGTCCATTTGTTTCCTTGAAGAAAAGCATGGAAGATACGGAAAATAACATGACAGATTGTGCAATCAAAAATTCGGTACCAAACGAATTGACCAACAATTTTAAACTGATTTACGTTTATTTTATTATTTTCTATGTCCTCGATTCTTGTTAACATGTCAAAAATCCCACAAAAATACTTAAGAGTATCTTTCCGGCAGACAGTAATGTTGGCGGCAGAAATAATCCTTGCCATCTTTATTGTGACACCACGTCCCATCCGGAAAGTATGGGTCCATATTAATGCCGAGCATTTCCAAGCGTGGTGCGTAGGGAGTTGATGAATTTTTTTTGCGGCAGTGTAGACACATTGTCTCGTATGGAATAAAAGTACTTCTTCTGTATTTAAATGTTTATTTTCGCTTTCTGCAAACACGTTAATTATTATTTATTATTATTTTTTTTTTTTTTTCGTACGTTTTTAATAATGCTAATCGACGAAACCCGATTTAAATGCTGATAATTTGACATAATTCTTTGTTTATTTGTTCCATGAAGCAAGGTTTGACATGTCAAAAATTTCACAAAAATACTTAAGAGTATCTTTCCGGTAGACAATAATGTTGGCGGCAGTAATAATCCTGGCCATCTTTATTATGACACCACGTCCCATCTGGAAAGTATGGGTCAATATCAAAACTGAACTTTCCCAAGCCTGGTGTGCAATGTTCGTATAATGTAGAAAATGTAACTGTGCATCGGCAGTATACAGTACAAGCTATCCACGGTTTCTCGGCATTATAAGAGGGCTGCAATCCCGGCGCTCTTTCTATTTTAAGTGATAAATTGTAAAATTTTGCCTGAATGCTATATTGCGTGCATTTTATTGTAGCAAATGACTTGATGCTCTCGCGTTTCTCAGTACAAAGTAAAGAATCATCGCACAGAACCATGTCGTAATATGGTCCTTCGCAGCTCGCCGATCTGAGACTTCTATGTCTGCAAGAACGTCGTTTAATTCTTAAACCTTTAGATCCCTTCAAGCAACTACTTTGACAGGTGCTTTCTTTCCATTCACTCCACTTATCCTCTTCACAATCTTTAAAAATATATGGCGGTTCGATAACGGGAATGCATTCTCCGGCGCGACATTCCTTTCCGGGAGCGCAATAAGTTCCTAAAAAATGAGATTAATTAAGCTGTAAACTATCTGAGAATGTAGGAGAGGAAACGTACCTTCTAACGCCGGTCCCGTAAAGGAATGCAAATTATAGTGAGGCGATTCACATTCTAAGGTTTTGCAAATATCAAGCAACGAGACCACGTTCGCATCTTCGTCGTGAAAAAATATTTCGCATTGTGCTTTGGCAGTCCATTCTCTTCCGGGTAAATCGTCATAACACGAATGATCATATGCGTCTCCAAGATTTGCCGGTCTCGTACGATCTCGAAGGCACTTTTTTCTATGCCAAAGATTTTCAGCTACACCACGGCTGCACTCAGACCATGTTATTTGTCCTCGTTTGAGCTTGAAAGGTGACATTATGTATTCGTGTATATCACACGGCATTGAATCGTGTCGCATTCCTAAACTTTAAAAGAAGTAAATTATTAATTTTGGCAAAATGCTTTACTTTGCATATTTATTCTAAATACTTTTACATTAAAATTTTTTAATAATTAATACTGAACATTTAAAGGAAACATTTAAATCTCTTAAAAAGTTTCTTTACTTCGTGCTTTTAAATTATACAATTCAATAAATTTTTTTGAAACAAATTATTTACATTTAATTGGTTTGGAAAGTTGTTATGTATTAACTTACACATGGCCGATCTCATGAGCAGCAACGACAGTTGATGCAAAACCCGATGTTAGTTCATTTGCAATACCGAATTCTACTATCGCGCACGACGTATTTAGAGTGCACGCACCATAGGTTCTGCTTCTTCCTATGACATAATTATTCTCCAAATAAATGTTTATTCCAGTTAGGTAAAGACCCACGTCCCAATGATGGGGATCATTATCGTCCGGAGGGTTGACACTTTCCGCGTACTTGCAAAACGAATCTAGCAATTTCTTAGCGTCGCCGCCAAAAACTGGTAAATTCAATGGTTGTTTATCCAGAATTTCCAAATATACTAACAAAATGTCGATAGAAACACCCAAACTAGGATGACGGAACATAGCTTGGATATTATTCACATACGCTAATATTAACATGCGCAACGTACTCTTATTTTTGCCCAGAAAAAGCGTGAACGTACGATATGCGGCTTCGTCGAAAAACACAGCCAATTCTATAGTTAATTTTTTTTCCGTATTTTTTACATGACGTCGATTCAGTTTAAAATTATCCAAATTGATATGAAAAATTGAATCAGCAGATAATTGTACAGATCTTTTAATTAAATGAGGTTTGCCAAATGAAGTATTCATCTCTTTTTTAACGCAAAGATCGTCGGTTAAGGACAAAGACGCATAGTCATCTCGCAAAGGTCTAATTTCCAATGTGTCGTCTTTCAGAAAAACGAATCCTTCCTACTTAAAAAATGTACATTAAGTTTTATGTGTGTCACGCTTAAATATAAAATAAACAAAATTTAAGATTAAAATTTAAATCTACTTGTTTTTCACATGACACTGACCCATCCATGTTTCTGACAGAAGTTTATAGTCGCAGTGCTGATATGATCTTTATGAAAATAATAGCAAGAATCCGATGCGTTTAATTGCGATAGTCCTGTGATTTCTTTTGCGTCATATTTCCATGTTTTAAACAAGGACGATACTATCTGATCGTTGCTTTGCAAGTTTAACTGAATCTGTTTCCCAAAAATTTTTAGAATCAATGGTATCTGTAAATGACAATTCAGAAATGACTTAATAATTGTGGAATAATATTTGGGACGTTGAACAATGAATAAAATAGTACAGTAAAACACACGTACTTCCTGTTCGCTTGTCGGATTCCATGCCGGCAGCAATATTCTTTCGATGTCTTGCGTGATATACGCGTACGTTTCTTTTAATAAAAATATTAGCACCAATTTAAACATAAAAAACATGTTGATTATTGCGTTTTTCAATTTTAAGTACTTTAAAATAATTTATTAACGTTTTTTTATATATCAAATTACTTAGATACGATATATATACGTTGTAATAGTCTCATGTTTGTCGTATCTTTTGATCGCGTATATAAAACACATACTGGCTTCTTGGTTTGCCATTTGTGTCGGATGACACTTACTGTTTGTTTGTACCCTATATGCTGCATATTTCTAAATATTTTCCTTTTTGATTTTGAATTGTTTATTTCGCACGTTTTACTTGGAATAACGATGGAATTAAAAAAAATGGGAATTATAATGTACATGTAGTACATGAAACATTATTCACAACCGTTACATATATTATAATTGATAATAAAATTTAGAGAATCGTAACAAATTAAATTACTATAATATAATATTGCGGATATATAATTAAACCTTATAGATATCAAATATTATAAAAGGAAAATACATCTAATCATTGATTTTCTGATTAACCGAGGTAGAAAATATATTGAAATTCATCCGTCTCTGACATCCCACTTTTGTCGTATTTGGTCAACAAACTCGTAAGTTTAATAAATAAATAACTATTTGCACCAAATAATTCTAAAAATTCTCTATTTACGTAAGACAATTTTCTTTATTTTTTTTTTTTTTTTTACAAATATTGTTTCTGTATTAGTATTAATGAAAGATTGGCAAACCATTAGAATACATAACATAGTGAGCAACGTTGTCGTTCTCATTCATTTTCTCTCCACACTATTTTTGTCTCGTATGGAATAAAATTTCGTACGGAACAAAAGTATCTCTTTTTAATTTCGCTTTTTATTTTTTATTTTTGCTAACATTATTTTTGCACATATTAATTATTATCTATTATTTTTTATCGTCTCATACGTTTTTAATAATGCTAATCGATGGAATTCGTTTTAAATCCTGATAATTTGACGCAATTCTTCGTCCATCTGTCTCTATGAAGAAAAGCATGAGAGAAAACAAATGTTAACATAACAGATTGTGCAATCAAAAATTAGGTATTAAACGAATTGACCAACAATTTTAATCTGATTTACGTTTATTTTATTATTTTTATTTCCTCGATTTTTGTTCAAATCCCACAAAAATACTTAAGAATATCATTCCGGCAGACAGTAATGTTGGCGGCAGTAATAATCCTGGCCATCTTTATTGTGACACCACGTCCCATCCGGAAAGTATGGGTCCATATTAATGCCGAGCATTTCCAAGCGTGGTGCGTAGGGAGTTGATGAATTTTTTTTGCGGCAGTGTATAGTACAGGCCTGCCACGGTTCCGCGATATTATGAAGCACCTGAACTCCTGGCCCACTTTCCAGTTCGACTATCCATTCTGTATTGTGTGTACGCTTTACAATACTGATGAATTCATTACATTTGAAGGCAGTAAACTCGAAGATTGTCCTGCGATTTTCAATGCAAAGCATCGAGTCATCGCAGAAAACCACGTCGTAATATGGCCCTCCGCAATTCGACGTTTTAACATTTTTATGTTTGCAAGAACGTCGTTTGACTCTTACGCCTTTAGATTTCTTTAAGCAACTACTTTGACAGCTGTCTTCTTTCCATTCACTCCAGTTATCATTTTCACAATACTTGAAAATGTATGGTGGTACGATAACAGGAACGCATTCTCCAGCTCGACATTCCTTTCCAGGTGCGCAATAAGTGCCTAAAAAAATGAGATTAATTAAGCTATAAACCATTTGAGTGATCATCAAGAGGAAACATACCTTCTAACGACGGTCCTGTTAAGTAAATGCCTTTCTTGTGTGGCGTTTCACATTGTAAAATTTTACATATGTCGAGCAATGTGACTACGTTTGCATCTTCGTCGCGAAAATATATTTCGCATTGTGCTTTAGCGGTCCATTGTCTTCCGGGTAAATCATGATAACGCAAATGGTTCAATTTATTTTTGAGATTTTCCGATGACGTGTAATCTCGAAGGCACGATCCGTACCAAATATTTTTAACTACTTCACGGCTGCACTCGGACCATGTCATTTGTCCTTGATTGAGCTGGGAAGCTGACATTATATAATTGTCTTTATGACACGGAGTTGCATAATCAGAATCGTGTTCCATTCCTAAACTTTAAAATAAGTAAATTACTAATTTTAACAATATGCTTTACCTTGCATTACTTTTTTAGATATTTTTATATTAAAATTTATTATTATTTAATACTGAACATTTAAAAGAACAAATCTCTTAATAAGTTTCTTTACTTTGTGCTTTTAAATTATTAAATTAATTATATTTTTTTAAAACATACTATTTATACTTAATTTGTACGGAAAACTGATATATATTAACTTACACATGGCCGATTTCATGAGCTGCAATGAGAGACGATGTAAAACCCGAAGATAATGTATTTGCAACACCAAATTCTACTATCGCACACGAATAGTTTGAGACACACACACCTTTCTTGTTGGAACTTCCCAGGGTAGAATGGTCATCCGAATAAATGTTTATTCCGGTTAGATAAAGACCAACGTCCCAGTGATTCGGATCATTGTCGTCCGGAGGGTTGACACTTTCCGCGTACTTACAAAACGAATTGAGCAGTCTGGTAGCGTTGCCGTCAAAAACTGGTAAATTTAATGGTTGTTCTTCCATAATTTCTAAATGCACCAACAAAATATCGATAGAAACACCCAAACTTGGATGATGGAATACAGCTTGGATACGATTCACATATGCTAATATCAACATGCGCAATATATTCTCATCTTTGCCCAGAAAAAGCGTGAACGTACGATATGCGGCTTCGTCGAAAAAAACAGCCAGTTCTATATTTAATTTTTCTTGCGTATTTTGTACATGACGTCGCTTCAGTTTAAAATTATCCGAATTATGAAAACTTGAATCAGCAGATAATTGTAATGATTTTTTAATTAGGTGAGGTTTGCCAAATGAAATATTAATTTCTTTTTTAACGCAAAGATCGTCAATTGACGACAAAAACGCAAAGTCATTCCGCAATGGTCTAATTTCCAATGTTTCGTCTTTCAGAAAAATAAATCCTTCCTATTTTTGAAAATATACATTATTGATCCTGCGTGACATGTTTATATTTAAAACAATGCAAAACTGAGACTAAAACAATGCAAAACTGAGACTAAAACAATGCAAAACTGAGACTAAAAGTAAAAATTAGTTGTTTTTTATATGGTACCACTGACCCAACCATGTTCTTGACAAAAGTTTATGGCCGCAGTGCTGATTTGATCTTTGTGAATAAAATAACAAGAATCCGATGCATTTAATTCCGACAATTCTTTTGTGATGTCTGTTGCGTCATATTTCCATACTTTAAATTTAGAAACTATTTGGTCGTTTTTACGCAGGTTTAACTGAATCTGTTTTCCAAAGACTTTAAGAGTTAACGATATCTGAAAATTAGATGACAATAAATAAAAGATATGACAGTTATCGAATATTTTAGACATTGAACAATGAGTGAAGCTGTTGAACTAACGTACTTTCTCTGTGCTTCTCAAATTCAATGCTGGCAGCAATATTGTTTCTATTTCTTGCGTGATATACGCGTACGTTCCATTTAATAAAATTATTAACACCAATTTATATATAAAAAACATGTCAATTTTTGTGTTTCTCTATTTTAAGTACTTCAAAATATTTAATTAACGTCTTTTTATATATATCAATTTACTTGTAATATACATACGTTATACTACTTTCATGTTTGTTGTATTTTCCTGATCGCGTGTAGAACACATACTGGTATCACACACATACTGGATTTTGGAATATTATTTGAGTCGAATCATGTTTATTGTGTATATATTTTCTGTCCTACATATACAGAATGTCCCAATGAAATGTATACATACTTAGCAAATTAATGTTTGTCTATTTTGTTATAATATATGTTGGTAAAATGTATATACATTTTATTAGGACATTCTTTAAATATGTATTTTTCTTTTTGGTTCTGAATTGTATATTTCATTGAATATAATATTTACAAACAGTGGAATTTTATTAAATCCAAATTATGATTTATGTGTGAAATATGTAACACTATTCGCAAACATTACTCACAAAAGTGGAAAAATTTTAATTAATGACAATTTCAGAATTACTAGAACATAACATTGTTGACGCAGTTTAGCATTATAAATATTAAATATAATATATAAGGAAAATACAAGTAATTTTAATGTGCTGATTCACTAAGAAAATATATTGAAGTTTTTTCGATTTTGACGTATCGTATTCGGTTACGGAACTCATGAGTTCAATAAATAAATAACTATTTTTTCTAAATAATTTTGAATATTTTTTAAATAGGTAATACAATTTTCTTTATTTTTTCGTTTAATTGTTTTTATGTAATTGTTTTTATATTAATAAAACATTGGTAGATTATTAAAATATACAACATAGTGAGGGATATTACCCTTCTTGTTCACCTTCTTTCGATACATTGTCTCGTACGGAATAAAGTACTCTTTTGTATTTAACTATTTATTTTCACTTTTTGCTGACATGTTAATTATTACTTATTATTATTTTTTTTTTACGTTTTTAATAATAATAATGCTAATTGACGGAATTCGTTTTAGACGCTGTTAATTTGACGTAATTCTTCGTCTATTTGTTTTTCTTAAGCAAGGTATGAATGATACAAAAAACATATGTTAACAATGATCAATCGATTACTCGGTACCAAACGAATTGAACAACTATTCTAAGGGCGGTATTCATAATCCGTTCTTTTATTCAAGATCGTCTTAAGTGCGGACTTATATTCGCTCTCTTCGTCACATACAGATTGTGTCTGACAAAGAGAGCGAATATAAGTCCCTACTTAAATTGATCTTGAATATAAGAACGGATTATGAATACCGGCCTAAACTGATTTACGCGCGTTTCGAAATTTTTTTTTCATAGATACCGGTACACAGACGTCGATGATTTCTTAATAATAACTGTAGCTTTCCGGCAGATAATGTTGATGACAATAATGTTGATGACACTAAAAATTTTGGCCATCTTCTTTGTGACACCAAGTTTTATCTGGAAAGTATGGATCGATACCGAGGCTGAGCATTTCTATGCGTAGTGCGTAGAAAGTAGATGAACTTTTTCGTCGGCAGTGTATAGTACAAGCCTTCCACGGTTTCCCGACATCATGAGCGGCCTGCCATCCTGGTTCCATTTCTGGGTCAAACGTCAAGTGCATATTATTATCCTTTTCGTCGATTTTTGTTGACATGTCGATAATCTCACAAAACTTCTTAAGAATATTTTTCCGGCAGACAATAATGTTGGCGACAGTAATAATCCTGGCCATCTTTATTGTGACACCACGTCCCATCTGGAAAGTATGGATCCACATCAAAGCCAAGCATTTCCAAGCGTGGTGCGTAGTGCATTTTTTTAGTAGTAGATGTATTTTTGAGTCGGCAGTATATAGTACAGGCTATCCACGGCTCCTCGGCATTATAAAGAAGCTGCAATCCCCGCTCCCTTTCTAGTTCAAATGTCAAATTGTAAAATTTTGCTTCAAAGCTAAATTGCGTGCATTTTGTTGTAGTAAATGAGTCGATCCTCTTGCGTTTCTCAGTACAAAGTAAAGAATCATCGCACAGGACCACATCGTAATATGGCCCTTTGCAGTTCGCCGTTCTGCGACTTCTATGTTTGCAAGATCGTCGTCTGACTCTTACGCCTTTAGATTTCTCCAAGCAACTACTGTGACAGATGCCTTCTTTCCATTTACTCCACTGATCCTTTCCACAATCTTTAAAAATATATGGTGGTTCGATAACGGGGACGCATTCTCCGCCGCGACATTCCTTCCCGGGAGCGCAATGAGTTCCTAAAAAATGAGATTAATTATGTTATAAACTATTTGAGATATCAGCAGGTTGAAACGCACCTTCCAACGCCGGTCCGGTGAGGTAATACTCTTTCTTGTGAGGCGTTTCACATTGTAGGGTTTTACATATATCGAGCAATGAGGCTACGTTCGCATCTTCGTCGCGAAAAAATATTTCGCATTGTGCCTTGGCGGTCCATTGTCTTCCGGGTAAGTCGTGATAACGCGAATGGTTCAATGCATTTTCGAAATTTCCCGACGATGTGTAATCTCGAAGGCACTGTTTTCTATGCCAAAGATTTTCAGCTACATCACGGCTGCACTCGGACCATGTTATTTGTCCTTGATACAGCTTGGCAGGTGACATTATGTATTCGTATATACCGCACGGTATTGTATCGTGTTTTAGTCCTAAACTTTAAACAAAGTAAATTATTAATTTTAACAATATACTCTACTTTGTATTATTTATTCTTAAATACTTTTACATTAAAATATATTAATAATTAATACTGAACATTTAAAAGAACAAATCTCTCAAAAAGTATCTTTACTTTTTGTTTTTAAATTATACAATTGAATAAATTTTTTTAAAACATTCTATTTATACTAAATTTGTACGAAAATCTGTTGTATATTAACTTACATATGGCCGATCTCATGAGCAGCAACGAGAGTTGATGTAAAACCCGATGTTATTTCACTTGCAATACCGAATTCTACTATCGCGCACGACTTAGTTAGATTGCACACATCGGTTTTGCCTCTTCCTATGACATTAATATTCCCCAAAGAAATGTTTATACCGGTTAGATAAAGACTAACGTCCCAATGATTCGCATTTTTGTCGTCCGGAGGGTTGACACTTTCAGCGTACTTGCAAAACGAATCTAGCAATTTCTTAGCGTCGCCGCCAAAAACTGGTAAATTTAATGGTTGTTCTTCCATAATTTCCAAATATACCAACGAAATATCGATGGAAATACCCAAACTAGGATGATGGTACAGAGCTTGGATACGATTCACATATGCTAATATCATCATGCGCAACATTTCTTCATCCAGAAAAGGCATGAACGTACGATATGCGGCTTCGTCTAAGAAAACAGCCAGTTCTATAATTATTTTTTTTTGTGTATTTGTTACATGACGTCGCTTCAGTTTAAAATTATCCGAAATATGAAAACTCGTGTCACCAAATAATTGCAAAGATCTTTTAATTAGGTGTGGTTTGCCGAGTGAAGTATTAATCTCTTCTTTAATGCAAAGATCGTCCATTGATGACAAAAACGCAAAGTCATTTTGCAATGGTCTAATTTCCAATGTGTCGTCTTTCAGAAAAACGAATCCTTCCTACTTTCGAAAATTATACATTAATGATCCTGCGTGACACGTTTATATTTAAAACAATGCGAAACTGCGATTAAACGTAAGAATTAGTTATTTTTTATATGATACTACTGACCCAACCATGTTCCTGACAAAAGTTTATGGCCGCAGTGCTGATATGATCAATGTGAAAATAATAGCAAGGATCCGATGCATTTAATTCCGACAATTTTTTTGTGATGCCTGTTGCGTCATGTTTCCATACATGAAATGTAGATACTATTTGGTCATCTCTACGCAGGTTTAACTGAATCTGTTTTCCAAAGACTTTAAAAGTTAATGGTATCTGAAAATTGGATGAAAATAAATAAAAGATATGACAATTATCGAATATTTCAGATATTGTACAATGAGTGAAGCTGTAGAACTAACGTACTTTCTCTGTGCTTCTCAAATTCAATGCTGGCAGCAATATTGTTTCCATTTCTTGTGTGATATACGCGTACGCTTCATTTAATGAAATTATTAACACCAATTTATATATAAAGAACATGTTGATTTTTGCAGTTCTCTATTTTAAGTGCTTTAAATATTTAATGTCTTTTAAAAAACAATTTACTTATGATATATAATACATACGTTATATTAGTCACATGTTTGTTGTATCTTCTGATCGAGTGTGGAACACAAACTGGCATTTAGGTTTAGGAACATCATTCGTGTCGTGATACTTATTGTGTATATGTCCTCTTTACTACACACACACACACACACACATACATACACACCATATATATGTATTTCTCTTTTCGGGTCGATAATTGTATATTTCATATATAATATTTGCGATTAAGGTAGAATTTTAAAAAGTTCAAATTAATATCTACATGTAGAATATGAAACATGAATATAAAACATTATTTAACAAACGTTAAACAAATTTTAATTTATGATAAATTTAGAGTGACTAAAGCATAACATTGCGGGTGCAATTTAATCTTATAAATAATAAACATGTTATAGAAAGAAAAAGCTACTGATCACTGTTTTACTGATTAACTGAGTTAGAAAATACCTTCAATTTTATCCGTTTTTGATGTCGTGCCGCATTTGATCAACGAGCTCATTAAATCAATATTTAAATAACTATCCTCCTACTAAATAATTTTGAATACTTTTTTATTTATAAAATATCGTTTTCTATATTTTATTCGTTTGTAAATTATTTCTATATAAATATTACTACAACATTGGTAAACTATTAAAATACACAACATAGTGAGTGACGTTTCGTTCTCGTTCACTTTCTTTCACATTGTTTTGTATAAAACCTCTACTTTATTTAGCAACTAATTTATTCGATTTGCAAACATGTTAATTATGACCTATTATTTTTTTTGTTTTTTTTTTAAGTTTTTATTATTGCTACTCAACGGAATTTGTTGTAGGAGCTAATAATTCAACGTACCTCTTAATCCATTTGTCTTTATTAAAGAAGGTACGGATGATACGCGAAACAGATGTAAACAAAGACAGATTGTTCGATTATTCGGTACCAAACGAATCGATCAATTATTTTAAACTGATTTACGCGTGTTTCAACATTCTCTCTTTTCTCGATTCTCGTTCACGCACATCAATAACATCCAGAGAATAATCCTTAAGAGTAACTTGGCGGTAGACAATAATGTTGGCGGCAGTAATAATCCTGCCCATCTTCATTGTGACACCACGTTCCATCCGGAAAGTATGGGTCCATATTAAAGCCGAGCATTTTGTAGCGTGGTGTGAAAAAAATTGATGAATTTTTTTTGCGGCAGTGTATAGAACAGGCCTTCCACGGTTCCGCGACATTATGAAGGACCTGAACTCCTGGCCCACTTTCCAGTTCGACTATCCATTTCGTACTGTTTGTACGCTTTACAATACTGATGAATTGATTACATTTCACGGCAGTATACTCGGAGATTGTCATGCGACTTTCATTGCAAAGCATCGAGTCATTGCAGAGAATCACGTCGTAATATGGCCCTCCGCAATTCGACGTCCACAGATTTTCATGTTTGCAAGAACGTCGTTTGATTTTTACCCCTTTAGATTTCTCGAAGCAACCACTTTGGCAGGTGTCTCCTTTCCATTCACTCCAGTTATCATCTTTACAATACTTGAAAATGTATGGTGGTTCGATAACGGGGACGCATTGCCCGCCGCTACATTCCATCCCAGGTGCGCAATAAGTGCCTAAAAAAATAAGATTAATTAAGCCATAAACTATTTGTGAGATCAGAAAGTGAAAACGCACCTTCCAACGCCGGTCCCGTTACGTAAAAGCCTTTTTTATGAGGCGTTTCACATTGTAAGGTTTTGCATATATCGAGCAATGTGACTACGTTTGCATCTTTGTCGCGAAAATATATTTCGCATTGTGCTTTGGCGTTCCATTCTCTTCCAGGTAAATCGTGATAATATGAATGGTCATAGGCATCTTTGATATTTATCGTACGACTTCGAAGACATGGTTTTAGGTACCAAAGTACTCTAGCAAGATTCTGACTACACTTGGACCATGTTATTTGGCCAAAATGTAACTGTATAGATGACATTATGTAATCGAGTTTATGACACGATTTAAGCGCCTCATCGTCTAACATTCCCAAGCTTTAAAACAATTAATTATTAATTTTAACAATATACTTTACTTTGCAATGTTTATTCAAATTATTTTTATGTTAAAATGTATTAATATTAAAGACTTGAAAATCATAAGAGTCTAAGTGCCAAATAATAAATTTTTTGCTGATACCATCAAAAGAAGCTGTGTGACATGCCTGACATTTTTCAATAGCGTCCAAGTGTCTAAACAAGTTTGTGAGTTTAAAAATAATGCATGAGATGACAATGAATTTAAGTCAGTAAGCCATTTCCGTAGGATTTAAGTGATTTGAAGCATGAAATGATCCAGTTAAAAGATGTCATAATGATTTTCATTTTTGGGAAAAAGTTAAAATAAGTATTCTTCTACTGCGATCTAATAATATCATTGCATGGAATGGAACTAATTTACATATTTTTGCAGGTTTTAAAGAAAAATGTTTATTATTCAATATTTATGCAATTATTTTTATGCAGTTTCTTGGTCTCCAACGAAACAATCTTATAAATAAAGAAAAATTAAGGGGCTTCAAAAATATGATCCCTTATTCATCAGAAACCGCTAAAGAATATTACACGACTCTGATGAATAGTTATAAAACTCGATAAAATAAAAATTAATTTTTTTCTGTCTGTTATTGCTTGTGTTTTATGTCTTATGATTTCTTTAAATAACCAAATTTATGTGCAGCTTAATACGCTAAATTAGTAATAATAGTCACAATGTGGCAATAAAATAAGAATGTTGGAATAATTCTGTTGATTGCAACTATATATTACGCTAGTTGATTATTGTGTTGTACAATAATAGATCTCGAAACGAAATCTTTCAAAGTGGCACTGATAGCTTATAACTGTAATATATGGCGATACCTAAACGCTTCTGCTTTTTCAACTGTTTAAATAAATATTTCGCTCTCAAAATGCTGTCTTAGAGAAAATCAACTTACTGCTAGCAGATCATTAAATTTCTAATTGAATTGAACAAAAAATGTGGATTAATTAATAATTTTTTTAATAGTTGTTTTAATAGTTAAAGTTTTTTGTTTATTTCCGAAAAAGAAGTTGATATTTAAACCCTTGTGGAGTCAAGTCTTCAATTAACATACTGAACAATTAAAAAAACAAATCTCTTTAAAAAATTTCTTTACTCTTTGCTTTTAAATTAAACAATTTTATAAAATCTTATAATTATACTATTCATACTTAATTATGCGTAAAATCATTATATATGAACTTACACATGACCGATCTCATGAGCAGCGATGAGAGACGATGAAAAACCCGAAGATAGAGCACCCGCACTACCGAATTCTGTTACCACACACGATGGAAACATTGTGCACGCACTATTTATGTTGCTTGTACCTCCGGTACTATATGGGACTTTGCCTCGTTTGGTCTTATAAATATTCATTCCGGTTAGATATAGACCAATGTCCCAGTGATTTGGGTCATTGTCCTTAGGATTAAGAGTTATCGTGTAATTGCAGAATGAATTCAATAGTTTTTCATCATCGTCAGAAACTGGCAAATTTGACGGTTGTTTTCTCATGATATCCAAATGTACCAACGAAATATCGATAGAAGCTCCCAAACTCGGATGATGGAACACAGCTTGGATACGATTCACGTACGCTAATATCATCATGTGCAACTTTTCTTCATCTTTGTCCAGAAAAGGCATGAACGTATGATATGCGGCTGCGTCGAAAAAAACAGCTAATTTTATAGTTAATTTTTTTAACGTATCTCGTACAAAACGTCGCTTTAGTTTAAAATGATCAAATTTACGAAAATTTGAATCAGCAGATAATTGCAATGATTTTTCAATTAGGTAAGGTTTGCTAAATGAAATATTAATTTCTTCTTTAACGCAAAGATCGTAAATTGAGGACGAAGACGCAAAGTAATGCCGCAAAGGTCTAATTTCCAAAATTTCATCTTTCAGAAAAACAAATCCTTCCTACTTTCGAAAAAAATACATTAATGTTTTTGCGTGTTCATGCTTATATTTATAACAAAGAGGATTTGACATTGAAAGTAAAAACTATTTGTTTTTTATATAGTATTACTGACCCATCCATGTTCTTGACAAAAATTTATGACCGCTGTACTGATATGATCTTTGTGAAAATAATAGCAAAGATCTGGTGCGTTTAATTGTGATAGTCCTGTGATTTTTTTTGCGTCATATTTCCATGCTTTAAACAAGGACGATACTATCTGATCGTTCCTATGCATGTTTAACTGAATTTGTGTTCCAAAAACTTTCAGAGTTAGTGATATCTGCAATTTCAATAACAACAAATAAAAGGCTTAATAATTCTGGAATAATTCTTGAAACGTTGAGCAATGAATATATAATGCAACACAATAAAACTTACGTACTTCTTCTGCGCTTGTCGGATTCCATGCCGGCAGCAATATTCTTTCGATTTTTTGCGTGCTATACGCGTACGTTTTATTTAATAAAAATATTAACACCAATTGCAATATGAAAGACATGTCTTTTCTCGCGTTACTTAATTTTGAAGTAATTGAAAACGTTTACTAACGTTTTTCTATATATCAAATTACTTATTACATACGTATGTTATACTACTCTCACGTTCGTTGTATCTTCTGATCGCGTATAGAACACATACTGACATCTGGGTTTAGGAATATCACTCGTGTTGTGTGACACTTATTGTGTATATGTTTCTTTGCGACACGCACGCACACAAACACACACACACACACACACAAGCAGCCAAACAAAAAAACACACGCGCGCGCACGCACATACGAGTATACTTTTTTCGGTTCGGAAATTGTATATTTCATATATTATATTTGCGATAAAGGTAGAATTTTGAAAACGTCAAATTATAATCTATATGTAGAATATAAAACATTATTCACAAACGTTAAACAAATTTCAATTTATGATAAATTTAGAGTGACTAAAGCATTGCGGGTGCAATTTAATCTTATAAATAACAAACATGTTATAGAAAGAAAATGCAACTAATCACTGATTTACTGACTAACTGAGTTAGAAAATATCTACCAATTTTATTCGTTTTTGACGTCGTGCCGCATTTGATTAACGAGCTCATTAAATCAATATTTAAATAACTATTTCCAAATAATTTTGTATACTTTTTTATTTATAAAACATCGTTTTTTATATTTTGTTTGCTTGTAAATTATTTTTATGTAAATATTACTAAAACATTGGCAGACTTAAAATACACAACATAGTGAGTGACGTTTCGTTCTCGTTTACTTTTTTTTTTCACATTGTCTTGTACGTAATAAAAATACTTCTACTTTATTTAGCAATTAATTTATTCGTTTTGCAAACATGTTAATTATAACCTATTATTATTATTTTTTTTTGTTAAATTTTTATTATTGCTACTCAACGGAATTAACAAATTACGTGCTGATAATTCAACGTAATTCTTAATCCATTTGTCTTTATTAAATAAAGTATGGATGATACGTAAAATAGATGTTAACAACGACTGATTGTTCGATTATTCGGTACCAAACGAATCGATCAACTATTTTAAACTGATTTATGCGTGTTTCAGCATTCTCTCCTTTCTCGATCCTCGTTCACGCACATCAATAACATCCAGAGGATAATTCTTAAGAGTAGCTTGGCGGTAGACAATAATGTTGGCGGCAGTAATAATCCTGGCCATCTTTATTGTGACACCACGTTCCATCTGGAAAGTATGGGTCCACATTAAAGGTGATCATTTCCGAGCGTGGTGCGTAGAGAGTTGATGAATTTTTTTGCGGCAGTGTATAGTACAGGCCTGCCACGGTTCCGCGACATTATGAAGGACCTGAACTCCTGGCCCACTTTCCAGTTTGACTATCCATTCTGTATTGTGTGTACGCTTTACAATACTGATGAATTGATTACATTTCAAGGCAGTAAACTGGGAGATTGTCATGCGATTTTCAATGCAAAGCATCGAGTCATTGCAGAGAACCACGTCGTAATATGGCCCTCCGCAATTCGACGTCCACAGATTCTCTTGTTTGCAAAAACGTCGTTTGATTTTTACTCCTTTGGATTTCTCCAAGCAACGACTTTGACAGGTGCCTTCTTTCCATTCACTCCAGTTATCTTTTTGACAAAACTTAAAATTGTATGGCGGCTCGATAATGGTCACGCATTCTCCGCCGCGACATTCCTTTCCAAGTGCGCAATAAGTACCTAAAAAATAAGATTAATTAAGCCATAAAGTATTTGAGAGATCAGCAAGTGGAAACGCACCTTCCAACGCCGGTCCCGTAAAGTAAGATTTTTTCTTGTTAAATAATTCGCATTGTAAAGATTTGCATATATCAAGCAACGAGACTACGTTCGCATCATTGTCGCGAAAATAAATTTCGCATTGTTCTTTGGCGGTCCATTCTCTTCCGGGTAAATCGTGATAATATGAATGGTCATAGGCATCTATGAGATTTATCGTATGATCTCGAAGACATGGTTTTGTGTAAAAGAGTACTCTAGCAATATTACGACTACAATTGGACCATGTTATTTGGCCAAAATGTAAGTGCATAGATGACATTATGTAATTGAGTTTATGACATGGACTAATATACTTCTCATCGTGTGACATTCCCAAGCTTTAAAACAATTAATTATTAATTTTAACAATATACTTCACTTTGCAATGTTTATTCAAATTGTTTTTATGTTAAAATGTATTAATAATTAAAATGTATTAATATAAAGACTTGAAATTCATAAGAGTCTAAATGCCAAATAATAAATTTTTTGCTGATACCATCAAAGGAAGCTGTGTGACATGCCTGACATTTTTCAATAACGTCCAAGTGTCTAAACAAGTTTGTGAATTTAAAAATAATGCACGAGATGACAGTGGATTTAAGTCAGTAAGCCATTTCCGTAGGATTTAAGTGATTTGAAGCATGAAATAATCCAGTTAAAAAATATCATAATAATTTTCATTTTTGGGAAGAAGTTAGAATAAGTATTCTTCTACTGCGATCTAATAATATCATTGCATGGAATGGAACTAACTTACCATACATATTTTTGCAGGTTTTAAAGAAAAATGTTTATTATTCAATATTTATGCAATTATTTTTATGCAGTTTCTTGGTCTTCAACAAAACAATTTTATAGATAAAAAAAAATTAAGGGATTTTAAAAATATAATCTTTTATTTATCGGAAATCGCTAATGAATATTACACGATTCTGATGAATAGTTATAAAACTCGATAGAATAAAAATTAATTTTTTTTTATTTGTTATTGCTTGTGTTTTATGTCTTATGGTTTCTTTAAATAACCAAATTTATGTGCAGTTTAATACGCTAAATTAGTAATATTGGTCACAATGTAGCAATAATATATTACTGTTGTAATAACTCTGTTGATTGCAACTAAATATTACGCTAGTTGATTATTGTGTTGTACAATAATAGTTCTCGAAACCACATCTTTCAAAGTGGCACTCATAGCCTTATAACTGTAATATATGGCGACACCTAAACGCTTTTGCTTTTTCAACTATTTAAATAAATATTTTACTTTCAAAATGTTGTCTTAGTCAAAATCAACTTATTGCTAGCAGAACATTAAATTTCTAAATGAACTGTACAAAAAATGTGGGTTAATTAGTAATTTGTTTAATAGTTAAAGTTTTTTGTTTATTTCCGAAAAAGAAGTTGGTATTTAAACCTTTGTGGAGTCAAGTCTTCAATTAACATACTGAACAATTAAAAGAACAAATCTCTTAAAGAAATTTCTTTACTCTTTGCTTTTAAATTAAACAATTTTATAAAATCTTATAATTATACTATTCATACTTAATTATGCGTAAAATCATAATATGAACTTACACATGACCGATCTCATGAGCAGCGATAAGAGACGATGAAAAACCCGAAGATAGAGCACCCGCAATACCGAATTCTGTTACCACACACGCTGGAAGCATTTTGCACGCCCTATTTTCGTTGCTTGCACCTCCGATAGTATATGGGACTAAGCGTTCTTGGATCTCATAAATATTTATTCCGGTTAGATATAGACCAATGTCCCAGTGATTTGGGTCATTGTCCTTAGGATTAAGAGTTATCGTGTAATTGCAGAATGAATTCAATAGTTTTTCATCATCGTCAAAAATTTGAAAATTTGACGGTTGTTTTCTCATAATTTCCAAATGTACTATCGAAATATCGATAGAAACTCCCAAACTCGGATGATGGAACACAGCTTGGATACGATTCACGTACGCTAATATCATCATGTGCAACTTTTCTTCATCTTCGTCCAGAAAAGGCATGAATGTTTGATATGCGGCTGCGTCGAAAAAAACAGCTAATTTTATAGTTAATTTTTTCCGCATATCTCGTCTATGACGTGGATTTATTTTAAAATTATCAAATTTTCGAAAATTTGAATGTGCAGATAATTGCAATGATCTTTTAATTAGGTGAGGTTTGCCAAATGAAATATTAATTTCTTTTTTAATGCAAAGATCGTGGATTGAGAACGAAGATACAAAGTCATGCCGCAAAGGTCTTATTTCCAAGGTTTCATCTTTCAGAAAAACGAATCCTTTCTACTTTCGAAAAAAATACATTAATGTTTTTGCGTGTTCATGCTTATATTTATAACAAAGAGGATTTGACATTGAAAGTGAAAACTATTTGTTTTTTATATATTATTACTGACCCATCCATGTTCTTGACAAAAATTTATGACCGCTGTACTGATATGATCTTTGTGAAAATAATAGCAAAGATCTGGTGCGTTTAATTGTGATAGTTTTGTGATTTTTTTTGCGTCATATTTCCATTCTTTAAACAAGGACGATACTATCTGATCGTTCCTATGCATGTTTAACTGAATTTGTGTTCCAAAAACTTTCAGAGTTAGTGATATCTGCAATTTCAATAACAACAAATAAAAGGCTTAATAATTTTGGAATAATACTTGAAACGTTGTGCAATGAATATATAATGCAACACAATAAAACTCACGTACTTTTTCTGCGCTTGTCGGATTCCATGCCGGCAGCAATATTTTTTCGATTTTTTGCGTGCTATACGCGTATGTTTTATTTAATAAAAACATTAACACCAATTGCAATATGAAAAACATGTTTTTTCTCGCGTTTCTTAATTTTGAAGTAATTGAAAACGTTTTACTAACGTTTTTCTATATATCAAATTACTTATTACATACGTATGTTATACTACTTTCACGTTCGTTGTATCTTCTGATCGTGTATAGAACACATACTGGCACTTTGGTTTTGGAATAGCATTCGTGTGACTTTTATTGTATACATATTTTCTATGCTACTTATACACGGTGTTCCTATCAAATGTATACTCATTTAACAAGTTAACATCTATCTATTTTGCTGAAACGTAATCAAAAGTATATACATTTTATTGAGACACCCTGTAAATTCGCATTTTGTTTTTCGGTTCTGAATTGTATATTTTACATATGAAACTTGCAATAACGCGGGAATTAAAAAAATGCGTTATGAATTATGGTTGATATGTAAAATATGTCACGTTAGTCACAAATATTTTGAACAATATTTACAAATGTTAAAAAATTTTTAATTAATGACAATTTTAGAAAGTCTAGAACATAATATTGCGAGCACAGTTTAGTTTTTTAAATAACAAATATGAAAAGAAAACAAAACTGATTACTAATTTACTGTTTAACATAAGTAGAAATTATATTGAAATTCACTCGTTTCTAATGACCACATTACTGTCGTATTCGGCCAACGAGTTCATAAGTTCAATAAATAAATAATAATTTATAATAAATAAGTTTGAATAAGTTTTTTTCTTACAGAATAAAATTTTCTTTATTTTTTTTGTTTATTAATCGTTTATATATAAGTATTAATGAAACATTGTTATACTATTAAAATACATAACACAGTGAGTGACGTCATCGTTTTCGCTCATTCTTTCGATACAATGTCTCATATGGAATAAAAATATCTCTACTATATTTAGCTACTTATTTTCGTGTTTTGTAAACATATTAAATATTATTTATTATTTTTTTGTTAATTTTTTATGTTCGTACTATTGCTAATCGATGGAATTAGTTTTAGATGCTGATAATTCTTGATCCATTTGTCTTTATTAAGTATGGTATGACTGATATGCAAAACATATGTTAACAATGATCAATCGATTACTCGGTATCAAACGAATTGAACAACTATTCTAGATTGATTTACGCGCGTTTCAAAATTTTCTTTTTTTTAGATACTCGTGCACAGATGTCGATGATTTCTTAACAATAACTGTAGCTTTCCGGCAGACAACAATGTTGATGACAATAAAAATTCTGGCTATCTTCCTTATGACTCCAAGTTAATCGATACCTGTTTTTACTTTCAATTTTTTGTAAAATTCTTTCTTTTTGGCTGCGTGGAATGAAAAATCCTTTCAAATCGACCGTGCACTTTGTATAAGCATATACACTTTAATTACAGAAATGGATTTTTCATTCTACGCAGCAAAAAAAAAGTATAGTTTGTTTAAAAAAAATTGGTAAAACAGACCATTCCAACATTGCCTTAATGATAAATGGCTTATTAAATGTTTTTTAAATTAGAAATATATAAAATACAAATATTATAATGACGTGTTTTCTTGATTATTAATGTATTAATACATTTATATAGATTCATATTAATATTCATAGTTTGTATATTTATTAAAGTAAATAATCAAAACGCAATTAAATTTGTTTATAAGATGTTCTTTATCTATTGACCTATAAATTTCGTATATGATAAGGACACGAACCAAATAGCATTTTATCAACAGTTTTGTAAAGAGTCTGCTACTGTATAAATAGATTTTTATAAATAGATATAGATAGCGTTGCGAATCAGTACGTTTGCAGAAATTACTAAACCGCCGTGCGTTTACCGACTTCCACGAACACGATTCGCGGCGCCATCTATATCCAAAGCGAAAACGGTACTACGATGATTCCTCATTCTTTTCACCGTACGAGGATGCGAGCGGGAGAGCGTGGTCCACGCATCGTCGCGCATGCGCCACGCTTGTTTCTCCCCATCGGACTGGCATCACTGATTATCCCCCGGTCATTTCGTCGCGGTCCGTTAGCCATGTTATGTGTTGTTGTGGATGTGTAGCGAGTTTGTCGTGCGAAAATGAGTATCGCGGGCGTGAGAATCGCGTATCTGTCGTATAATCGGCGGCCGCGACGACGGTAAAGTCCCGACGACGAAGGCGCGAAGTGGCATGTGTTCGCATCTCACGGTGGTGCATCGCGCGCGTGTGCAACGGTGGTGGTCGTGCGCCTCCCGGAGGCGGTGGTGATCTCGGCTTCGGTGCGAAGGAAACCTTTCTAAAGCAGCGGCGGCGGCGGCGTCGCGCGTCGGAGTCTGCGTTGCGACGGACCTGCTCTGGACCCAAATGGAGCCGCGTTTCCTCGCCGTCCTGTTGACTTCGCTGTTGACAGTGCTCCCACGAGGTAAGTGGGATACGCTTCTCTCTTTCTTGTTGTGTCGCATCGCGTCCTCAATATTGTGCTGACATATCGCGATCGCGTACCGTCGCGGATTTTACTTGATACATTCGCTGATGTTTGTCGCACGCGAAATTCCCGGCGAATGGTTTGAACGACGTTTGGACGTTCGTCGTTCAATCAAATACACATTCATTTGTTTTATTTTATTTTTTTTACCCCCCCTCCCCCCAAATTTGGATATCGCAAAATTTCAATCTGCCGGGTCTCTCTCGGGAAGATTTCCGCGGGAAATTACCTCTCGCGCGGACAATCCGCGTCGCTGGGCGTCGTGAGACGCGAATCGACCTGTCAATGAGCATGCAGTGTTGGCGACTCCGCGAGATATTCTCGGAGCGTCGTAGGCTGCTGCAACAAAATATATAAATAGAACGGGATCGATAGTTGTTTAAAATCTTCAAACGATAGGTCCTTGTTTTGCTTTTGTTATCTCGTGCTTTGTATATATTTGAAGCGAAGCAAGCGAATACTTGGGCTTTGAACGGATAAAGAAGAAAGGGAACAAAGCGTGTAACGAGAGAGAGAGAGAGAGAGAGAGAGAGAGAGAGAGAGAGAGAGAGAGAGAGAGAGAGAGAGAGAGAGGAGGAGAGAGAGAGAGAGGGGGGGGATGAGAGTATATGTGCGAGTGAGCGAGTGACTATACACGACAGACGGAAAGTTCAAAGGTTTGGCAATTTTCATTCGTTTGCATCGCGTCACAAAAGAATACTGCTTTCTGCATTTGATCGTTTTTATAAATTCGTATATTCTATGATTGCACTTTAAATACGACCGAAAAATGTTCATTGCCAGTCGCGGGATTAGATTAGACGAAAGAACGGGATGAAATACGATTGTCGAGCCTCGCGTCCGACTTAATCTCGAGATGAGCGAGATGAGTCGAAACGAGATTCAACATTGAAGTAGTGCATTAGCATAAGGTCAAGCCCTCCGACAATCCCGTGTCTGTGGAGCGGCTTCTTAAGATGTTTCGCCGAGTTTCGAATCGATTCGTCGCGCCTCGCCTTTAATAACATCTTAAATATTCGCGAGGGAGCGAATTTAAACATCGTGTCTACTTGCACGGAGTCAAAAAGTTTCCGGAAAGTTCTTCGTGTATTTTAAATACCTGACTTTTTTTTCAAAGAATTAGAAAACTGTTGAACTACCGAAGAAGTGTGCTGACTTAATGGTTGATTATGTAAGAAAATAAGCTATAAATTTTGATTTTTTAAATATTGATTAAGTATTAATTTCTTGTAATAAATGCTTTCAATAACGACTCTCCGCAGAACTTTTGGACTCTCGTAAATATAAAACAATCGACGGATTTTTCTTTTAAATGATAATTAAATATAATTTAATACAATTAGAATGATATTTATATGCAATAATCGAATATAGATAGTTATTTTGCTTTTCGTGCTTTCGTGCAAATATTTACATCTTCGAGACGCCCGATTGCCTCTTATTTTGTTTATCCGTTTATCCATTACGCAAATTACATAATATTTCCCGCTCGTAGAGTTGAACACTTGTGTAATCACGTGTCGACACGTGACACCGTCGAAACGTTCGCAGAGCATGAGCGTAATCGTTATCTCACTCACGCATTGTACATACAATCCTGCCGGCGATCGAATTCGGGAATCGTGAAAAAAACAAGCCGCATAAATTTGCATAATTCAATCATTCATTTTGCGTGCCGACGCACCTTGCCGTATCTACCTAAGTCGGGTTGAGAGACCCTGCGCATCGGGTGACCATTATTGATGCAGAGTGAAAGAAAGAGAGGGAGAAAGAGAGGGGGACGCCCAGAGAGGAGATTACGCCGACTGAAACGCGGGGGTGACTTCTTTTCTGGGTGTATTTCCCATCGCAATCGCGAGGGTAGTCTGCGGAATCGATTTTTACACTTTGTTTACGCTTTAGTGATTGCGAAATCCAATGAACTTCGGCTTAACAATTCCGTTGTTCCTGCGCGGGTTACAGTTTCACTTCCACGAGACAGAATTTACTTAACGCTCAGTTAAAAAAAATTCAATCTGATTGTAAGTTGGAAAAAAGATATTACATATTCACAATTTTTTATTATACCGCAATTCAAATTGGGAATCAATAATATGATGCATAATTTTTGTTTAATTTTTCGTAATAAAATAACATTTGTTTGATCAAATTTAACGCGCATTACATATTTACCTTTCCATGTTATTTGACGTAATACTCTTCGTATATTGTGTTTATAATGAATGGGGCTGCTGTGATCCCATAGGATTAATTTTTATCCTTTGTTTGCGCTTTAGCGATTGCGAAATTAAACGAGCTTTTTGATTAACAGTACGCCGTTTCTATCCGGATTAATTTTACGTGTATGTAATATAGAAGAAAAACAAAAATTGATTTACATTAACAAACCCATGTATGATTTTCGTTTAAATCTCAAGCGACGAAACGATTCATTTTATTTCGCAAGATTTATTGCCGGTAGGAAGATTATATATTTATCATTTCGTTCCACCGATCAGAGTCGGAATGAACTATTGCGATCTCACGGGGCCAATCAAGATTTAAATCGGAGTCGCTCCGAACGACGCGGTGCAATCACTATATCTTCGGTATACAAATCCCAATATGCAACGTACATAACTAGAGTAAACGAGTATGCCAAACACGATGCAGCATCTCCGTATTGCATCTGCGAACGCAATAAGAACAGTGCCTCCTCTCCGTCCCCCTCCTCTCCCCGCCCCTCCCGGTAAACACGGTGGTGATATAAATTACGTCGCCGAGGGACCGAGGCCCCTGCCATTGTTGCACGAGTTCGCGCCTGGTCGTCGCAGCGTCTCGTATTAAGGATTCATTGAGAGGGATTTTACAGCCACGCGGAGCGGAGCGAAAGCCATTCCGGGTCCGCGCGGGATTTATCGCGCTCGCAAATCGCGCGTGGTAAACATCCGAACTCTCGCCGCGCACATTCGCGCGATGCCTATCTCGGAGCCTAGCTCGGCCTCTCACGCGCGTGCACACGGCGCGGAACCCGCCGCGGAACCCGCCGCGGCTCCGGCAAATCCCCCGGATTCGGTTCTCTCCCCGCGCTACGTGAAGTTCGCGGTCGCTGCTTATTGTTGGTTTCGATCCGTTTCTGCAAAGCGCCGCGGAATCGTAATGAGATGGCTGGTAGATTCATCTCGATCGCGATTGTGAGAAGGGAATCTATTATTTTCTCAGCGGGACATGTATCTTCTATTTATAATTTTAACCCAACAAGCATTCACAAATGGAATAAATTTACTTATCAAAAGTAAAGAGAGGAAGAAGAGAAAGAGAGATAGCAAAATTATTTATTTATTATTTCAGTTTTAAAGCACAGTTTACGTGCACAGAGCGTGAATTACGTAATTTAGTCACGAAAAGATTATTTCTTGTGTTTTTAATTTAATTGTATAAATTTTTTTACAAATTATACAAATTTTTAATGATATTAATTTTCTTAATTGCTATTTTTTATTCATTTTGCTAATTTATCTACTATCTCAAAACAGATTTTTATTACTCTATTACGCCTTTGCAAAATACTGAAATATTATTTTTCGACAGAATCGCAGTGTTAAATGCCATTTTGCTTTCGCCTCCACGTACAATGCTTGGCGTATGCGCGGCATAAAGACCCGTTTCCGGTTGATCGGGATGGAGAAATTTCTAACAATGAAAGGGGTCCTCAGCGGACTGCGCATTGTTGTTCAAATAAACCTGTTATCCCCGCGAGAGAACTTGTCCTGACGACGTATAGCATACCGCAGAATAATTACGAGCTGTACAAATAGAACATCATAAACTAAAACGGTACACAATGGTGCCGATCCCCGTCCATCCGTCCGTCCATCCGTTCGTTCGTTCGTCCATACGTCCGTCCATCCTTTCTGTCGGATCTATACAAAGATCCCGTGCTGTGGGTTTATGACTTTACCTGCATAACAACAGCAAGACGGCGGCCCGTCTTCTCATCGCGCGCTTGCCCCGTTCGCAATAAATATTTTACACGATTCTTTGTTACCGCAACAAATAAGTATTATTAAACCGAACGTTTTCAGTATCCACCCGTTTTGTCATTAATATTTTACGACGGAAATTATATATCGTTGACGAAATATATTACGAAGCTATCGATAAATTGTATTATCATCAAAATTATAATTTTGCCACCGAATGAAAAAATTCATGCGTATAAAGTTTGGAAATTATGAATTATTATATATCGATGATAAAATATATGTATTATCGAATAATCATATATCGACGATAAATTTATTATTATGAAAATTATAATTTCGAATTTGCCATTCCAATGAAAAAAATTCATGCGTATAAATCCGGAAAATAGTAATCTGTAAATCCGATCTCACGCTACACGGAATATCGCTCACAGAACTCGAGGCTGTAAACTTTATCAGAGATTCCCTTGAAAAGAAGCGTAAGTCGGGGATGAAACTTTCGCAGAGTACATCCCCGTATCTTCACCGCCCATACAGCTCTCGCGAAAGCTCCTCGAGGAAAAAAACGTTTATTTGACGGTGGAAGCAACGGGCAACCGAAAGATTCGCCGGAAGAAATACATTTTATCAAATTTCCGTTCATCGATCGCGAATTGCCACCACGATGTCTCAGTCGAGGATGTTAATCCGAGATAAAAAATAAAGGAAAAAGAGAATTGTTATCATATTTTGCATCTTATATCACCACCATTCGCTGTCTTTATTAATCAATTTATTCAGAGTAAATCTTTATTCAAAACATCTTGAAAAAGAAAAGGAAAAACTTGTACTATGAAATATCAAAGCGTATTTTAAAAAATTTTGGTTTTATCTTCTGTTTGTGACCGATTTTTCTATTTTGTCCAAAGATTTGTAGGCTTTTTCTTGTCAAATTCGACGGCTCGAAATCGAAGATGGTAACTTCGGCTGTGA